TGGTTTCCATCTCAGGATGATCGGGTAATTATCATTATGAACATGCAGCAAAGAAATTACTCAACTACTGCAAGTCAAACAATGTCATTTTGCTGAGGCTTAAAAATCTTGAATCAGGGAGTGTAGAAACATGGTTGTCAATCTATAGAGAAGAAGAAATTCAAAACGCCATTTGGAGTATATCTGATTGTTGCAGAATTTCGGAAGATTTTAAAGACCATAACGGAGATGTTCAAACTATTCTCAGAACATTTTTTTATGCTAAGCCAAAAAATTAACAAAACGCAGTGTGGCAAGGACAAAGCATTATACTGTGAATTTTCGGTCGTCTATGAAGCACAGTTTTGTAATTTTCAGATCCTGAAATGTGCGATAATATTTCAATCGTCCCGTTTTTTATGTCATAGGTGTCATGCGGTAACTACAGTGATAAACATTTGTCTATAGATGAAGGTGAGCTTCCTGCCTAGATTTGCACATTTTTGATAATTGAAGTAGTATCTCGTCTGCAGCACATTAGCGACATTGCTTTTCTCTTATTATCTCATAAATCGCTCTGCCTCCTTGTTTTAAACAATATTTCAAAATCGTCTGCTGTACTGGTTAAGAGTAAGTGCAAACAGTCATTCAATGATCTATTTGTTTAAAGTATTCTTTTGTATTCACTCAAGGCAAATCAATCATGTCACCTTCATACAGTTGCACAGTTCTCAAAATATTAAATTCCAAAGTGCCAAGAACCTGGTTAGAGAGTTTTAACATGTATCAGTATATATGTTTTCATAAACTTATTCTTAGGAAATGAAGATGAAGTCCTTTCTGTTCCCACTGAGGTTCTAGACGACTCCCTTTGGTCACGTTCGAATGGCTGCAAAGATGTTGTACGGCAACTGGAAGAGAAACTCAGCCTGGACCGCGCCGCTTTGAGAGATCCCGATCCTGATGTAAAGAAGCTGATTCGTTACATGGCCAGAAAGGCTAACATCAAAGGCCGTTATGATGTGATTAAAGAGTTGAGAAGTATTGTGCCATCAGGGACTACAGGTAAGATCGCTTTTAAAGCTTCCCAACTGCTGTGAGAACTCAAATGCACCAAGAGATCAAATTTATTCAGTCGAGAAAAAGAAATAAATATCCATCCAAGTGAAATACAAACGTAGTTCTCGATGGTCATATTTTGTAGTCACAGCGGTTATTGGGGTATCCCGTGTAATGTATCAGAATTTTAACAGTTTGGTTGGCTTTGTCTGCCAAGCAAATTGTTTTATGTTTATCACGAATTCGACCTATGGTCAGATTTTGATAACCGTAGAGCACGAAATGTTCGAGACACTCAAATTTCGCAACTAAAGACTATCTACCAAAGAGCATATGGCCGTGATGCAAACCGTAATTTCATCAAAATGTTTGGTTTGTCTCGGACTTCTTCCAATAGGCCAAGTTAGCCAAATCTTGTTTTGGTTCGGAGCATTTGTCCTTGAACCTAACCTTCCGAACCTTTTGGATGTTACGTTGTTTGCTCATGGATTCCTTTTTCTGAGAAATATTTTATTTCTTTTTTGTTAGCTCCTTTGTTGCGTGAGAGCCTTCAAGTTGGAAAAATGCCTTTCAGTCAGCGAAGAGAGCTCACCATTGCCCTAAGCGGTAAGGCTATAAACATTACAATACGTCAGTCCGAGAGCAGATCAGTTCAACCTTCCATATATATATTGAGCATGCAGGAGGTTTTGAGAAACCGGAAAGAAAGATAAAGAGTTCCTCAAGTTGTTGTTGAGAACAAATACCAGCTAACTATTTTAAATTCTCCCAAATTATACAAGTAGAATTGCTAATGTAATACTTGGCTTTGTGTTGTTTCCAAGTTTAAATGTTATCTTTGACAAGAAGTCCGCCTTGCTCGATGAAAATAGATTTCTAAGCAAAGAAGTTTAGTTGCAAGTGTAAACCAGTTTTTTAACTTTTGTTGTAGTATTTATTGTAGTCAAGAGAAAATTTGCAAAATTTACGAAACAAAGAATTATGAACGTACATGTATTATCTCCAGAACCAGTTCTATTAATGAAACGTGTTTACTTTTATAGGTGTACAGGAGTGGAAGATTTTTGCCGAGAAACTGGGGTTAAAACCAACGGAAATTCGTTTCCTCGACCAACGCACCTTGAATCCAGTTGAAGCTGCCTTGAACTACGTTGTACAAAGATGCCAGATAACTGTGGGAGATCTTTACGTCATTTTAAACGACTCTGAGCTACCTGTCATAGCCGATCTGCTCTGAGAGAAAATTGATATTCAAATCATGTAAATGTTAACTTTTACACAAAAGATGTTTTCTTAGATAAATTTTCTTACTCCTCATGTCTTCATGGGTCTCTTAATAAATCAAATGCGACAAAAGAAGAAAATTCTTTCTTGTGCGCCATGTCGATAATTGTTTATAACTTACCGCGGGATCTTTTTCCTCCCCTAGCGTAGGAAATTTTTAAGACAAAATTTAAGCCGAGATAACTTTCTGTTTTGACTGTTTTTCCGCTTACAAACCGCACCAGTTTACGGTAATTTCAAAACTAACTGGCAACATCGCTAACCTTTGACAAATATTGGAAAGTATTTTTTTTTAACTATATTTCAAATATGTTTTAAAATAACGACGGAACATAAAGCGGCGTAAAACGACTTGCCTCCAACCAGGGGCTCCTGCTCCAACTAAGTAAACAAAAGAATTGATAAGCGTCTATAATATGGGGCTAACGTAAAGGGAACTGTGCGAGATTATTCAGATTTTTATGCGCAAAAGGAATAAAATCTGATTTACTAAGCGCAAAATTCGAATGTTCTCAAATTCGGAACAGAAATCTGATCGTGGCAGAGTCGTGATTAGATAATCTGTAGAGCACAAGGGAAAAAAAGTGTAAAGCGGTAAATTGCCCTGCGATCATTTTCTGCCCACAACGTTCGTTTTTGTTATGGTTATTGTTCCTTTTTCCTTTTCAATATCCGCGCTGATAATGGTTACAATTAGGGAAGAGGGACTGCCCTTAGTATATGAATGAAAGGCGCAAGGCACGAAGCACTTTGAAACATTACTCCTAGGCCAAACCTATGCTCTCCTTACCACTGCACCACAAACTGAACCTGTCCAGCGATTTACCTTTTAAGCAATGTAAAAGCAAAATGAACTCCGTCAAACTTGTGAGCAACAGCTTTCGCTTTATGAAAACAGCCATCGTCCCTATCACCTACCAACCGTAACTCTTTTCATCCAAATAATTCTACCTGTATCGTGCCTATGGGGAGAATGTCTCTCATTCAGTTCACCCGACGATAAATAAAAATCTGCTGCTCGTGTGGTTAGCGGTTACTGGTAAAGTTATCACGTGTTCTTTGAAGTCGTCTTCGCTATGGTTCTCAAGTGGCCATTTTGAGTCATTCTAAGATCGTTTAACTGAGCTTATTTTCATCTCATTTTGACCGCTTTTCTTGTCATGCGGGGAAATGTTCAGTAGTCCTGCAATAAAGTGTGTCGTCCAGGCAGCGCCTTGTAGCTATTTTGGGCAAGTACATGTATACATAAACATGTACATGTACCCCTTTCTTTCATTCTTCCTTGTCGGCAGTCAGAAAGGAAAATTAATTTTTAAAAAAACCGGGTCTGTCTCCTTTTTCCAAATCTGTAACGTCATATTTTTACATAAACACAGATAAGAGTTCACTAAATCCTTTCATAGAGGGGATTTTCCCACTTGAAAACTGATTTACTTTACTCGGCCTCGACGTTCATGAATCTCGATAGAACTGAGCTACAACAGCAATATTCAATATTCACATCTCGTAAGCAACCTGTTTTAGAAGAACGTGCTAATTCTGGACGCCACCTATGCAACTACCCGTTTAGATATGACCGTTAACGTTTGAAACAAGAAAAAAGCAGAAGGAAACTTTGATAAAAATGGTTGTCTTCGTTTTGCGATGTCGACGTTTTTATGACTTATACAATGTTTGACACCTTTTTCTCGGCAGGCATACTTGGAGAGAAAGCGACTAATGCTCACCGAGAGAGCTGACTAGCAGGAAGGAGCTATTTGCACGCGTAACTTCTCCCTAACCTATACTATTGGATAATTTATTACCTGACGAGGGAATTCCGCGTTAAGTTGCACGCGAAAACCGATATCGCACGAATCGCGAGGTGATGAGTGCGATATCGGTTTTCAAGTGCAGTTTAACGCGGAATTCACGAGTCAGGTAATGAATTTTCCTTGAATCGCAGAAGTGAATGAAAGTAAGAAAACAAGAAATTAAATCGGCAATATTATTGTCTGTTTTTATCCCGAGGACGTGCTCTAGAAAGCCATTTCAAAGCCAACTGTCAGAAGTGTCATTATGTTAGCGAATAGAAAACAAGGTTAGTCGTTCACGTTTGAACCTTCGACAATTTTCTTTGTACCTCCTGTTCGATTTTACATTAATTTTTGAACTTTTTAAACAAGCTTCACACTATTTAAGGATAATAGTGGTATTTCACTGAATTTACAAGCCGTTTTTCGTTAACATCTTTTTTTCAAAATTCCAAATAGTTTGCTTGAGAAGGATAATTTACACCTTTTACATCTTTGTTGGCAAACTGAGAGAAATGAAGTGTGCAAGCGAAAGCACTGATTTCAAGTGCAATAACATCGCGATTAATATAAGGTAAGTTCCTTGAAGTGTAAATACGTGTATTGATCGATTCTTTATTCCTTTAATAACAAAGAAATGTTTTATGAAAAGTCCAAAAACTTTCATCTTTTTATTTGTAGAAATTCACTACAGGCGACTGCCATTAGCTGAGTCGTTGGGATGAGCATTCGACTAAAAGTTGGAGATATTCACTGGAGAGTTGTTGAACGATACATTGGTGAACAATCCACCTAGAACTCTTGCTGCTAGATCATCAATGCTGTTATTCGTTGATGTTGAGTTATTGCCAACTACTGATGGAAGTGCAACGTTGTTGACATAAATATCTCGCAAAGCTTTAGTGCGTGGACCTTCGCCGGCGTTGGCAGCTGTGACAGTCGTAGTGGTACGACTGAAAACCCAGCCAACTTGCTTGACATCCTTTGTTGTTTTTCTAAAAGATTATGGTTGCAGATGGATACTGAACCCGGGTTGGCTCGGAGATTGTTTTTTCTGGGGCCGTGCTCACAGGATTTTCTCGCTTTCGGGTTGTCGCGAGCGAAAGAGGTTTTTCATGCCTTTCCAAGAATTTGAAGTTCAATTCAAAACAAGGAAGAACCCCAGGCTCACTTTGAAAACCCTTTTGTTGTATTTGCTCTTTAGAAGGTGACAATGGTTTTGAAAACATTTTAAATTGACTTAGAAACCAAACTTTGTAGGAAATGATTACAAACCGGAGAAGCTTCAATTGTCAAACAAAGTCTCCTGGTCAGCACTAAAGGAATTATATAGACGAGAGTGCAGAGAATATCGACACTGAANAAACGCTTTGTTTGTTTTTGCTCTTTAGAAGGTGACAATGGTTTTGAAAACATTTTAAATTGACTTAGAAACCAAACTTTGTAACGATTTGACGATAGTTGTTGTGCTTAGTGACGTAGATGCGAAACAATTACGCTTAGCCTCGTTTTCAACTCGCAATTCCACGCTAAATACCCCGCTTCGTTAACCAATCAGAATGCGAGATTTTATTCAATGATGCGATTCTGTGTTAAATCACTTGCGCCCAGTAGATAGAACGACTTCTGCGCCCTCCATGTGAAGCCACACAACTGTCTGCCAGCTGCTGCACATATGCTTGCTAGCCTGGCCTGGGCGAGTATCCAAGCCAGGTTAATAAGACTGGCGCGAGATTGGCTCAAGTATTCTGGGAGAAACTGGTGACAAATGACTTTCCGGAAGTACTTCCGGTTAAGTTGTTTTTAAAGTTTTTTCGAATGCTTATTCTCGACGAATCGTTCGACATTTATGTTAGATATATGAGCTGCCACTTACTGAAGAAAGAGACAACGCTGCCTGATACCTATGGGAAGTCGTGGTTTTGATAGAAGGCGATGGAACGACGCAAAAGGAGGGTAAGGGGTCGTAAGTAAAGTAATTGAATCAATCTTTTAATTGTTGCTTGAAAATATATTTAACTTTGCTAGTAATTCAGGAATCCGTTTTGCTTCTTTTTTTTATCCTATTCAGTGAAAGAAATGTGGATGCGATTTTCTCAAATCTGAATTTTCAATTTGTCCTCAGTTGGTCTCTGAAAATCATGTTTCGAATCCGTATTTCATCGTCCGCACAGCTTGTCTAATTTAGCTTTCCGTCATCCGTATACAGAACCTAGGACTTATATACAGTCCCAGTGTAGTCACTTACAACGAGAAAGTGTATTTTTTTTTCTTAAGAACAAAGTCAATCTGAAAACTAAGAGATCTGCAAATGCAAATGTTGATTAGACTGGTTACAATGAACCGTGCTTAGGTATTGTGATATCGTGACAAAATATAAGCCGTGACATAATGCGAACTTTTTTTGGTCACTCCACGGTGTAATGTATAAATGTAAAAAGCATAACACGTATAAATTATGAAAGAAGGGCAGTTCAAGGGTCTTACTGCCTTGGAAACGAAACCATTAAACACTTCAATTTGTAAACGAAGAGATCTGCACGAGTATATAGTGGTTAATGCTTTCATACAGGTAATTAACAATATTCATGTATTGTGATATCGTCGTAGGATATATAAGCCGTAACATAAAGCGAACTTTTTTTGCTATTCACGCCACAGAATAATGTATAAATTTAAACAGTTTAAACCATAATACTTATGAAACATTAAACAAGGTAACTTGTGACGTTCATAAACGAAAACAAAATGAAATTGCTGCTAGTTAGAGGAAAGCATATCTCTTGGAGGGTAGAGAAAAATAAAGACACCACTCTGTTCTAAACCTTTAGATCCCTTTAGGCGTACCTCATGACAGGAACACGGCAAATGATTCGCATTTTGACGAGCTGCGAAAAACGCTTAGTTTTCTTCAAACATGCAAGTCCCTGCCAGCAAGGGATACTAAGAAAAACTTATCATTCATCAGACCGATTTTGGTGTACGGGAGCAAGGTTTGGGACAGTTGCAGTTCAGAGAATCTCGAAAGGATTCTTAAACTTCAGAAGAGGGCGGCAAACACTATATGCAGACAAGAAAACCATTATATGCAGACAAGAAAACCATTTTCACCTCACATGACTTTTCTTAATAACCTAAATTGGCTTCCTCTCAAAAATCAATCATTAATCACTCTAGTCAGGAGGGAGGGGGTGACTCCAAGGTAAAAATTGGTCGAGTGATCACTGCCAGTAAGATATCACAAACGATTTTTTTCAATATGGCGGGCAAGTGTGATATTAGTTCACTTCTGCGAAATTGGCATTTTCAATGATTTGGATGGTTTGATTACTGTACCTTGAGATATCTAAGACCTAGACAATATCAGAGTCTTTTTGAGCAGTTTGAATGAGGACAGGCAGTTCACAAGTTTTATATTTCGAATGAAAACACAGTACTTAGTGGCTGAATCATTGGCAGAATATGTTCGGTTGGCCATGTTTTTCCGCAGCTCTCGGAGTGATTTTGGAATGTCCTGATACCAAAATAGGACGTTTGACAAGTAGTATTTTATAATTCATGTGTGCGAAGTTTCAAAGATTCAGCTTTTTTTTGGGGGGGGGGAGCTCCATTTGTCTCAGTAAAGCTACAATACGATGTTTTCAGAATCGTCATCTAGTCCTTTGAGAATTATATATGGAGATTCTGTCTAACGATTGTTGATGCTTGCTATCGGACTGATATTTCTATATTGATACGGAAGAATCCTACAAACAAGCTATTGATGGAGTGCTTTTCATTTATTACTTTTCGCAGTCTTACGTTGACCTTGAGCTACCTTTTTATCTAGTGTAATTTCTCTTTTCCTCACTTAAATTTTTTCTCGCTTTGTTGAGACCTTTAAACCGTAAGAGTGACCGGAATCTGTTTTTTTTCTTTACAATAATACCGCTGAGTCGTTCATTGAAATTGTGAGATTGTAGGAAATGATTACAAACCGGAGAAGCTTCAATTGTCAAACAATTTCTCCTGGTCAGCACAAAAGGAGTTATATAGACGAGAGTGCAGAGAATATCGACACTGAAAACATAAAACAATTCAAAAACAAGCACACTGGTATATTTTTTTTTCTGTACATAATTACACTGTTAAGTAAAGTTTTGGTTTCAAGTCTATTGCTAAACCCTTATAAAGCAGAGACTAATGCTCAATATTTATAGAATTGAATCTGCACTTCATGAACCTTGCCTACATAATGTATTAGTACTGTATCTCCAAGCATATCTGGTCAGGACAATTGAAGAAATTGGATGATAATACTTAATATTCATCTTTGATGTATGCATTAAGGATAAATTTCATATCAAAAACATATATAAACAGAAATAAGTATGTTAAATTAGAAGACCGTCTTTGTTATTCCTTACCGAATGCAGTTTGTGCGACAATCGATCCTAAATTTATGTTATAGGATAATA